CATACACACAAGGGGTTTGGTGAAGACTGGACAGCCTTGCATGAATAGGACATATTCCCTATTTCCATATATTGCGTTGCCTGGAAAGGCATGATGCATTTTTGCATCGAAAAATACATCATGGGGACCAGCAGTTGGCGTAATGGCTATGTCGCTGGCGACTCTCATGTAGTTGACTGCGGCTCAAGTCCCGGACCTGGTGGCTTAAAAATTCACGCGGGGGGCCAGCAGGTGGCATGGTGGTTGAGGTGCTGGAATTCCCACATGGCCGACCATGGTTTGAGTCCCAAACCTGGCAGCTTGCTTTCTCACACTCCCTCTCTGTCTTTCTCTGGCAAAACTCATGTGAAAAAAAAATAACAATGATAATAATAAATAAATAACTCTTACCAAAAAAAAGCTCACGCTGGGCATGTGTGCGTGCGTGCCCAAGATCCCGAGAGGAGAATGGAGGAGAAGGGATTGCAGCGTGGCCATCCCCCCTGGGGAGTGATTTCTCTCTTTCTGTCTCTCTGTCTTTGTGGTGAGTGCACACACTCTATAGCAAAAACTTCTCAAAAAAAAAAAATACATCATGACTTTTCTGACAACCTAACAGACTCAGCTTAAGCTAGGTGCTTATGATGTGCGCAACATCAGAATTCAATAACTAGGTGATTGGTCAACCGATCAGGAACTGGCTTTCCCATCAGCATGCCTCCTTGAGCGTATTTCAAAATGCGTTATTTAAAAAATTGTATTTATATTATTGTTACTTAAATTGGCTGTAGGGCATGTGTGCTCACTAGACAGAGACAGTGAGAGAGAAAGGGAAAGGGAGACAGTAAGCTGTCAGGTCCAGGATTTGAATCTCCGTTGGCCATGTAGGAGTCCAGTGCGCCCTTACCCGCCACACTTCCTGCTGGCCCCTTTTTAATTTAAGAATTAATTTTATTATTATTTCTCATTTACTGTAGTGCATATGTGCTTATCAGAGAGAGAGAGAGAGAGAGAGAGAGAGAGGAAAAGTGAGAAAGCAAGCCACCAGGTCTGGGACTTGAACTGCAGTCACCTGCTGGCCTGTAAAATGTATTCTTAATCCATTTCACCTCACTCAGGTGTTGTGTTTTGTTTGTTTGTTTGTTTTAAGAGGATTTTTGCCGTAGGGCATGTGTGCTCACCAGAGATGGAGAGAGACAAGGACAGTGAGAGGGAAATTGAGAAATCACCCCCAAAGGGGAAAGGCCATGCTGCAAACCCTTCTCCTCCATTCTCCTCCTGGGATCTTGGGCACGCACGCACACGCACCCGGCATGATTTTTTAGCCTCCCATCTGAGACTCGGACCACCAGCCATGTGTGAGTCCAGTGATGTAACTACTGCGCCATCTGCTGGCCCCTGTTGGGAGGCATGCTGATGGGAAAGCCAGTTCCCGATCGGTTGACCAATCACCTAGTTATTGAATTCTGATGTTGTGTGCACATCATAAACACCTAGCTTAAGCTGAGTCTGTTAGGTTGTCAGGAAAGTTTCTGAAGTGCCACTACCACCACTTGCTGCATACTACGAAGCACCAGGCATCTGCCACTTGTCTTCTCAGGTATGTCCAGTTACCACAGGCCCCCTAGGAACTGGGTAAGAAGTTACCTCTGCACCCAATCCCCAAGCCTCTTTCCCATGGTGATGGAGTTTTGATTCTGATGCTCTAGATAACCAGGGAATTTTGTTCCCTCCCACCTTTCCCACAGAAAGGGCTGGCTATGGCTTACATAGTGGCCTACCGTCTACCAACCAATCAATCCAAGTATCTAAAGTAGTGCCTGATACATGGGTGACAACAATTTGGTGACTACATCTCCCCTCTACTGTTTTTTTTTCCCCCCAGGTTTTTGCCATAGGCCATGTGTATTTGCCAGAGACAGAGACAGTGCGAGGGAA